ACACTGAGCCCACGAGTTTCGTTAACTCCGAAACCAATGCTAAACCTCTATCATTAAAAACGGATGAGGAGAGTCCGTCTGGGCCTGAGGCCTTATGCCTTTTGAGATTTGCAACAATCGCTGACGTTGTATCGTAGGTAGGGCAACCAAAACCGGCGCATGAAAGTGCATCGTTAATGGTTGTGAAAACTCAACTGAACTGAACTAACCTTAACAATTGCATAAACCTTTCTTGTCGCTTGGTATTGAGTGACACCAAGACTGTATAATGCATCACTTCAACTCGAATGTCATTTATCAGAATAAGTTAGTAGAGGCTTGCATAGGAGGAACTGACACTGGGAATTTTCTCAAAACGATCAGTATCAACTGCTCGAACGCACCCATGGTTTCCGGTTGGACACCGTCTATTCCGAAAACAAAATGTTGAAGAAACGTACGACCAACTGGACGATGAAAAAACTCCCCGAGGTTAAACTAGTTCATGCCAAGACGCGTGAAACTTTATCCAACGGATAAGGTCTCTATTAACGCAACGTCTTAGTATATGTGATCAAGTGCATACATTGTTACACACACTTTCAGTTTATGTAAAGCAACTCACCCGAGGACAAGAGCCAAAATCACCCTGCTGCCACTTGGCTACCATGACACAAATACCACGGTTGGTCATGATGTATCGAGCGTGGATAAGTCCGTAGAGCATTTCGGCAGCTTGTTCGACCAAATCTGTGTTTTCCTGATTGTCTGACGGGTCTGCGAACAAATGAATCAAATGCGTTTCAATACTTTTTAAAGACACGTTCTTGGTATCCGTAGTAAAAACGTCGAGTGAAAAAATGGTAAGATAACTAAACAGTAGGTTTTATGGGTGAACCCGATCGCACATGGTAGTCTATCATTCACATAACGCTCACAACAGAAAAAGAGAAAAGGATTATGATCATGTAATATCGTACTCTCAGCGATCAATGTAATGAGGTTTGATTGACTCATCTGATTACGAAAAACGCAGGCTTTTGGGTTTTCAGTGCTATTATATTGAAGAGGTGGAGTTATTTGTTGCAAATTTTTGTATTTCCTCTTCAGTAGGGTCGTTGGTATCAGATTATATAGTTTGTCACATGAGCTATCTCTAGGCTCCAGCCTAGAGACGTGGCAATGAACCAGTTGGTTGTATAAGCTGAAAAGGAAAATGGTCAGTGGCTTGTCACCAATAAAAACTTTATCTTTTGGTGACATATATATCGTCATCATTATCATCGTACAGTGGAATTTTTTCTCACACATTTGTGATAAACAATATACCTGAGCTACGGAGTCCTCAGGGGGTTCACCACTTCAAGTCACAGGGCTAGGAATGCCGGTTTTCATCACTGAACAGCGGGTCCCCAAGACTTTGTGGTTCGCCACGTATATTTCTTATGACAAATTTGTGATGAACAGCAGACGGGGTAGATTGGAGTTACGGGCCAACTGCTGTTCACACAGGGTCATACATATGTGGAACAGATTAATCTCAGAAGCGGTAAACTGCGCCAATGTTGACGCTATCAAGGTAGACCTGGACGAATGTTGGTCAGCAACGTTGCCGGAGGTTACAATTTAGAGTGAGAACATATTTTACTTAACAAGCTCCAATCGTTTGGTTGTCCCACTTCTCCTATTGAATGGCTTGGTGACTACTTTTTGAAAAGATATCAGCATGTTCAATTGGGAAGAAGAAAGGCAACGGTATCACAACAGTTCGCGTGTACTTCAAGGTGCTGCCTTACCACCTTATCTTTTAGCGACTTATAGCAGTGACTTACCTATTACTCCTCCCGTACATTTAAATATGCTAATGATGTCGTCATTTCTGTTTCTGTATCTAACCAATCAGAACAACAACACAAGCTTATTTCACCTCGTTTCGTATTCCATTTCAATGGTTTTAATCTTAATTCCGAAAAATGCCTGGTATGTATCTTTACTTCAAACCGTTCTCAATCTCCCTCCAGTTCAGTTCAGCTTTTACAACAAATAACCACGAACTTTCCTGTCTGTTTTGGTCGTTTTTTAGCAGCCCATTTGGATAAAAGAACAGAATGAAGATTGGAATGTTGAGGGTAAATTCAAGCGAAAGATAGAAAATGCATATACTGTTGCAAGAATAGTAAGATGCATCAGCGCCAATGTTTGCGACAATGTACAGAGAACTCGTTCAATATAACACAAACCTATCCCACCCCGTTTCATATTCCACTTCATCCGGTCTTAATCTTAATCCTGAAAAATGCCTTGATTGCATTTTTACTCTAAACGGTTCTCCATCTCCCTCCGACAATGTCCAGATTCATGGAAAGCCGATGAGTAGGGTCAGCCATGTGAAGTACTTAGGTTTCACACTTGAAAGTGAAATCTGCCATGAATTTACATACCCAAACTGTTGCTCGCAAGGTGAAAGTTCTCTCTTTTCAGATGGGAAAACTGCGCCACTTCTGTTCCGATTTGTCGGTGATAAACGCCTTTGTTCAATAATGTGTCCTCCAAAAGCCTCAGTATGGTCGGGAGTGGGTGTCTAGGGTTGTGGCTGGTCACCCTACCCTTGCATTTCACGAAATGCTCCCATACGACCAAGCGCCTCGAATAGCCACCGCTGAGGAAGCCCTACTCACTGCCTTCTCGTGGCGGTGTTTCCCCACCAAAGTGAGAGGACGAAGAGCCGACATCCGGGGCTAAAACCAGGTTGGTGGACCACTGGTAGTTCACCGAGGGGAGTTGACCAAAAACCCCGATTCCAACCCAACCATGGGACACCCACACCTTTTCCGTTCTGGCAGTGGTCACCGGCTCGATTGGGAATTGAGGTGTATTGGGCACATTGGACGCTTGACCCCGTCCGAAGGGCGAATGATCCGATGGACTGGACACCGGTTCTCAATGGATTGCGATTTTCGCACACCACCCCGCTGTCTTGCGGGTCAGGTTTTGACTAGCCGAAGACTCCGGTTGTGAATTCCTCAAGAAAATTCACTTGCCTTGGCCTGGGCAACCTGGCAGTATTTAGCCTACAAGCCAACCATAGAACGTTTTTTTCTTTTTATAAAGATTACTGAACCATCATTGACCTAGAACACAGTCTGTCCGCAGACAAGTGTGAAATGTAATACAGTATATAATCAATGTGTTCTAATATACCCCCTAACTGCTTCCCTGTAGTTTTCCCAGGTTTGCTGAATGCCGATTTTAAGTTGCTGAAGCCTCTTCGTTATCCTTTCTGATTGACGTGTGTAATGCTCATATTGATGCGTGCTTGAAGTCTCCTAACGATATCCTGATTGCCCCATCCTTTACACATTAACCTGTATGCATGCCAACCCACTCCTCCAACCACTCTAAATACAATAAATATCGCACATCTGCATACAGAAACTATTTGGTACCCTACACTGACCGGATAGTGATCGATAAGGACAGAATTCGTTCTCAGCTTTCTAATGCACCTTGTGTTAAACTCAGATTTATGCATTTTGATTATCTATTACATACTCTCCTGTGATGAACACCAAACAGGGGAAAGTTTCTTAGTCACGAGAATCTGCTTTTCAGTGACGGGGACCCGTAACCTAAGCCCCAGGACTTGGAGTGGCGAACCACACAATGTCCTGATAGGTTGGGTGTGGAATTGAACAGGAAGACAGCACAGCTACCTATCACCACTTTTTCCCCCTTTCTCACCATCATTGCAATGGTGGTCAATTTTTGACTGAGAGCTTGTATAAGACTCGCTAAATCTTCAATTAAAAACAATACGGGGGTTCATGGGGATTTTAATACAATAAAATCCACCGTAGCCTGAAATCTCTGAACGGAGTAAACTCGGGCTGGATTGTTCTGCGACACTTGTTCTGTGCCTAGGAACGTCTGCGAACTCTAAGGTCTCTCGCCGATGAGAGAGGACACCCTTGTTTGAGTTCCTCTCCTTCAAGCATAGCGAACCGTGACGTCCTGGAAACGGGGTTTGATCGAGAGGATCACACTTACTACGTCATCCGTAAGCACAGCTAGAAGCTACCCACAAACGCCGACAAAACGTCGGACTAGAAAATGGATTAGCAAGAGCTGTACTCGTTCTATGCAAACTAAACTGAATGATTCATCGGAGAACCTTTTTGTTTTAAAACTTTATGATATGATTGGAAGATATTTGTTTTCACACAGCCTAACAAACCTACCATTTTCCAAATCAAGAATCATATCCAAAGCTTCACGATACTCAGGCACTTGTTCAGACAGTCCAGTCAAGTTAAACCTGTCTTGTATGTAATCCTCCTCGACTTCACAGAAAAACTCATTTCCACGAAGTCCACAAAACCAGGCAATCCATGAGACCTCTTCACTACTGCTCATTTCACAAAATCCACGATGAAATTGCTAAGGGGTACGCCGTCCGCAATACAGCCCAATATGAACGCGACTAAACAATTCAGTTCAGTTCAGTTCAGTTTCCACAGGACAGAAAATGGCCACGGCCAATCCAGCGTCCGGAATTCCTTCGGTGGTATGCGGTCAAGTATGGCACTCACCACTGCGAAAAATTCAGTTCAGTTCAGCTCCAGGACGTTGACGGCGGTGTCCAATGTCCAATGTCCAATGTCCAGTTTACAGGCGGAGAAAGCTCGTTGGCTTGTAG